TCAAAAAGGAACGTTAAATTCTTACACCGGTCAACACATGCACCACCCACTCTCGTAGGCTGACTTGTCACTTGTTGCAACTTCATGTAATTTGTGCTTGTACCGATCAGAAAATCACAAGTAACCAATATAGAACTACTAACACAAGACAAATATTAGTGAATATACTATATATAACGCTATACTAATATATACCAAAATACTGTCCCACGCCCAATTAAAGAAAAACTCAAAATTCTAGAAGCTATTATAATAAAAATTATAGGTGGTAGTACCTTCCGAGTATTTGAAAATCCAGTGACTATATTCCAGTCTGCATCGTTACATTCACTTGCTCATATAAATACTTTTTCGGAATGGTATAAATTCATTTCTTCTACCTCCCCCTTTTCTCCCCGCTATGAGTTAAATAGTAGAAGTCATATATGGAGAACTCGTTGTTATATCAAGACATAATTAATGCAATGTTCAGCCCCACCAAAAAAAAAAAAAAAAATCTTTCAAACCAAAAATATGTCTAGGCCAGTGTTGTCCAAACTTTTTTCAAAATGAGCCAAATTAGAAATTTAGGTTTGGTTTGGTTTGATGAGGTTTACGGCATATCAACTTTAATGGGTTTAGAAACTTAGGTATATTGGCAGAGTCAGATAAATACTTTATATAAATATGCTTTTTAAAAGTTCAAAATGTGGTGAATATTAAATTTTGATAACATATATATATATACAATTACAAAAAATACTGTGTTATTGACAGTAAAAAAAAAATTATACATCCACAAAATAAAATAAATTCAATGTGATTTTTTGACATTGCTTTCCTTTTATAATATTGTCAATATCTGCTTTTATGATATTAGTCTTCATTCTAAGAATGTTAGTAAAATGGGAATCACTCCACCTATTTCTTACAGCAGTTTTGATGTTTTTCATGTATAAAAAGAATTGTTCACATCAGTATAGATTGCCCCATATGCATAAGATTCCGTGGTAAGCTAAATAATTTTTATTTAGCTCTGGTTCTTGCTCCGTGCACCAGCCGGTGTGTCTTGGCCTTTAACCCCTTCTCTTTTTAGTGCAATGGAGGAAGTGACCCTACTAGTGCAATCTGGGAATAATTTTCTAAACATACTGGTCCCTGGTGTCAAGTAAATGAAGCTGCAGACGAAGCTGTCAATCAGCTGAATATCAGTACAAATAAAGCTAATGACAACTAAACCCAAAATATGTTGTGCTTTGTTTATTTGTCACTTTGTGTTTTTGTAAAATAAACCGTGTAAACTGGTTTCTAAAAATACTTTTAATGCGAGTAAGTTTACTAAAGGAACTCAATAAGTTTTATTGTTTTTGAAGTGTCAAAAGTTGAGAAATCCGTATTATTCACATTCTAGTCAAAGTATACTGAAGACCAGTTTATTTATTTATTTAAGTTATGCTATTTATAGGAAAATTTTGGATCACAGAAAATGAAAAGATGGATTTATTAAAATTAGATGTTTTATTGGTTAATAAATACATTTCCCAATTTTTAATATTGGTTTTTAGGAGGGAAAAATTTGTTAATCATTTTCTTGTTGTTATTTTTTTTTTTTTTTTTTAGCATATGACACAAAAATGGTTGTCTGCTTTTTCAAAGCTTTTGAGTTACATCTCAAACAACTTCACTGATTGGTCACCAAATGCTAATGTGGAAATTTGAATTTGACATTCATGTGATCCTATTTTTTGTGCAGAATTGAGGTGATGCCTTTGTAATACTACTTTTGCACTGAATTGAAATCTTAGTTACACTATTTTTTACAATTCTACACTTTGAGAGAATTTCAAACTAAATTCTTTCTTTACTGCACTGTCCGCATTCACAATTTTAAAAAATTACTAAGCCACAACACGACTATCCTACACCATGATAACAATAAAATTAGATTACAGACACTAGAAGCAATTTGCATCAAAAAAGTTAAAGCCGGCACTGAATAGACTCAATTATAAATACTGCAGTAATTTTCTAAAATGCCTGTTTTTTCACGCTTTAAATGCGCGCGTGACCTTGATATTATAACATAGAGAGAAAAATTCCATAATGGATATTTTTTTCCCGTTTTAATGAACGCTCAGCACATTGTCAACCGTTTTGCATTCAAAAGCACAATGAAAAAATTACGGTAATAGATAACAACGCACATCTTTTTATAAATACTTATATTAATGAACAACATATAGTTTGGGGCACTTTGGCGTAGTGTAACGGTTACCGATCTTGTCTCGCTAAAACTGTTACGTATACTACGCTTAGAAAATTAATATAGTTTTTTTTTTACTTGCACTCCTGAAGATGATCTTGGAAGAAGATCGAAAGTACTTGGGGAATGAAAATAGAAGAAATTTAAACAGCTATAGCACATTTCTCTCATCCTTTAACGTCAACTGAGTTGGTTCTTTTCTAATTGAACTATTTAACTATGAGTTAAACTGATGATTCCTCTTCCTTTTGTGACCACCTGATACAGTTTTTCTCTCAAATATTCCCTCCTTTTTAAAACTTATTCACCGTTCTCTTGATGGCTCTTGAATGAACTTTGAAAATGGAAGCCGGGGAGTGAATGTTGCTACCATTACTGAAGGCCTGAATGATATTTTTCCTCTCACCATTGCTCATTTGGGAAGACAGTGGGTCTGAAACAAAACTATTTTAACCTGTTCTCTTTTTAGATGAATAACACAAAGGATTTTTCAGTGATTCTTACGACAGATTGTGTAAAGATGGCTAAACATCTATTCTGAAAACCTGGCAAAAATAAACTCAATTAGTTTAGTGTTTTTTTTTTTTTTTTGTGTGTGTGTGTGTGTGTGTGTGTGTGTGTGTGTGTGTGTGTGTGTGTGTGTACAAATATATAGAAAAATAGGAAAGAACACGTTAGGAAAATAATCCGGAGTTCTTTAGTATTTTTTTTTTATTTTAAAAAAAACAGTGCTCCATACAGAAGTAGAGCTTAGATTAAAATTATTTTTTTTTTAAATATGATTCCTTGCTACAATTTAATCTTAATAATTATATTGATGGTTTCGGCTTTCGTTTTTGAAACATGAGAACTCTTATGTAGCGAAGGAATCATATTTTTAAAAAGATAATTATAATATATTATATATATAAAAGTGAACATTAAGGTCAACTCTCAGAAACGACAGGCTGTTTCATGCTGGACGCAATCGTCAGGCCGCCACATATAAGCTAAAGTCCACATATAAACTAAAATTAATTGAAAAAAAAAAGAAGGCTTTATAAAAAGAATAAGATGGAAAGCCCATTTCTTTTTAAACCAGGACCTTCAAAATAACACTACACTCAAAGAAAAAATACGACTTTAAAACCCCAAAATGACCCCAGCAACAAAATGAATTAGACGACTTCGAGAAAGACATAACTGATCGAGTTAGAAACATAAAAAAACCGTTAATAAAAACAAGACGCGTTCCAAAAAAAGCTAAAAGAAGATAACACTAAAATAAGTAGCGGAGAAAACAAGAAATTTATATGAACTAAGCCTTCCTACACACAATAAATTATACAAGGGCGGCCTGACGATTGCGTCTAGCATGAAACAGCCTGTCGCCTCTGAATGTTGACTTCAATGTTCACTTTTATATTTATATTTACATACGCTCTATCTCTGATATTGATCACTTTATCACATAAATATAGCACGCCTTAAAACTATTTTTCTTTCTTTCTTTATATATATATATATATATATATATATATATATATATATATATATATGCATCTTTCATTAAAACGACAGAAAGGTACTATGGTTATGCTTTTATTTAATTTTATTGTGTTCGAAAAAAGCTTTCTTTTTTCTGGACAAAAGTTAAGCCAACTCTTAACAATATTAACTACGAACAAAGGCTACAATCCATCTATTTCTCCATTAAAAATGAAGCCTAATATATATATATATATATATATATATATATATATATATATATATATATATATATATTAGGCTTCATTATATATATATATATATATATATATATATATATATATTTGGTTGGATAGATGCAGTTTGTGACCCTGGGTTTCACGCTTTCTGACGATCGCTACAGCGTGAGCAAGTCACAAACTCCATCTATCAACCAAAATATTAACTCTATCTCTGATATTGAGCGCTTTCAAATATATTTGGCTGAAAAGTATCACAACATCTGTCTAATTGTTTAGTAACTATTTCAAATTTCAGGATTCTTTTTTAATATAATCGATAAGTTTACCAAAGTTCAGTTTCATTTTTTTTTTCTTTTGATATTTTGATTTCACTTTCTGTGTCAGCGTCCCTCGTTCACTGAGTATTCTAACAAAATTTTGATTTTGTCGAAATATATATATATATATATATATATATATATATATATATATATATATATAAGTGTGACATACAATTGATTGGAAAGTACAAACAGTAAAAGCGGGCCGATTATGTAAATCTCTTGGGGTCTGATAGAACAGCGTGTGAAACAGGAAATGGTGTATTGTGTCGTCGTGGGAGTTTAAAAAAGAGGGTCCCGAGGGATGGAGCTTTTATTTTTAGCACATATTATACGCACTTCCCTTTTGGATTCTATGTCCACGCCAAACCTAAAAGAAAAACAAAAAACAGAAAAAAAAACAACAACGAGCAATGAGTAAAAAGGAAAACGGAAAAGCTTTCAACCCGTAAACATGAAAATTAGCCTCTGGCTAGGTATTAACGCCTTTTTAGTCCCGTAATATCATTCACTATCTATGGCCATTCACATGTAAATCTCTTCATATCTATCTATCTATCTATCTATATATCTATCTATCTATCTATCTATGAACATTCACATGTAGATTTGTTCACATGTATCTATAACTAGCTAGCTATGATTATTCACATGTAAATCTGTAAACAGATTGACATATAAATAGTCATTGATAGATAAATAGATGTGAACAGATTTACATGTGAATAGTCATAGATAGATAGATAGATAGATGTGAAATAAGACTGGAATAGATAGATAGATAGATAGATAGATAGATAGATAGATAGATAGATAGATAGATAGATAGACGTGTACACATTTACATGTGAATCGATCTATCTGTGAATATTCACATGTAAATCTCTTCACATCTAACTTTCTATCTATGACTATTCACATGTAAACTTTTAAACAGTTTTACATGTGAATAGTGATAGTTAGATAGATAGATAAAGTTTTCAGATAAGTAGAGAAAGAGAGAGACAGAGAGAGATAAGAAGAGAGAGAAAGAGAGAGATTAGATGGCCATGAGAAGACGTTTACAGATAATGGACACTTTAAGAAAGAAAGAAAGAAAGAAAGAATGAGATTATGGATACTTTTAGATGACAGTCTGTTTTTTATCTCTGCTTTTTTTAATTTACTACGCAGTCCTCCAGTTTAAGATAGATAGATAGATAGATAGATAGATAGATAGATAGATAGATAATGAACAGACTGACATAATTAGATAGATAGATAGATAGATAGATAGATAGATAGATAGATAGATAATGAACAGACTGACATAATTAGATAGATAGATAGATAGATAGATAGATAGATCGGACTAGATTTACATGTGAATGTTCTACATGTGAATGTTCATAGATAGATATTAATAGATTTACATGTGATTGGTCATATATATATATATATATATATATATATATATATATAGGTGTGAACAAATTTACATGTCTATAGTCATGAAAGATCTGTTCACATCTATGTCTATTCATATGTAAATCTGTTCGCATCTATCTATGTATATATTTATCTATCTATATCTCACAGACACACAGACACACACACACACATATGTTTATATATTAATCTATTTGTTTAAGCTTTATTTTTTAAATTGATATTTCAATAGATGCTTTTATATTTATTTATTTACATCTACCGAGAAATCTTGTTAGAAAGATACGTGGCCTCCGGCAGAATTCGAACCTGCGTCTCTAAGGGAAACCGTCATTAGATCTGACGTGCCTCAGACCAACTCGGACACGTAGGAACTCCTTATCAAACGAAGCCCGAATAGTGCTTTTGAACACATCTCTTCCCGATTCTCGAAATGTACATATCTCTATGCTTCGATTAATTTCACTGATCAACTTTTCCATCTTACAAATAATCTTTCTCAGACAAGGAGGAGATTCCATCAGAAATTCTCTGACATTCATTTCGGAAGAAAAGTACAGGAAATATGGTCCCGGCTTTCGACTAATCAAGGTATCATCAGGGTAGGTAAAGAAAATTAATGGCTATTTTATGAAACTCACCAAATGTATACATACCCTCAGGATCTTGTCGAAAAAGATGACGAAAGTTAACAATTGTTTTTACCTACCCTGATGACTGACTATTGGGAGGTGTTCCCGTCAAAGACCTTGTTCATTGAGGAGATAGCGCTTAATCCTTTATTTCCTTTAGACATATCTACCGCATCGTTGTATGTTCATTCTTTCTATTTCTACATTTATTTCATTGAGCTTTTCATCTTTTAGCTGCCTTCATTGTTCCTAATATTTGTTTAATGTTTTCCCTTCTCTATCATTACTTATCCTTGTTTGTTATCTTTTTTTTTCACCATCCCAATGCACTGGCGGCGTCCATAGCAACGGAGCCAAGTTCGCCCAATTGTGCTAGATGGCCGTTAATCATACACGGTCTATCCAGACTTTGACCGGTCTTATTTTTTAAGCTTACTGGTTGCTTAGCCAAGCACCTCACCAGAATAGCCTGGTAGGGGAACTGGTTTAGTCGCTGAAGATCCGATCAAGCGGTATGGGTTTAATGGTACCAGGAGCCCGCGGAGAGTGATCTAGGGTCAAAAGACAACAAAGACTAGAATAATAGTCTGGAAGAATCGTTGTATATGCACAGCAGTGCATCGTCTCGAAAGTCAAGATTTCTGTAGACAAAGAGATTATTATTATAATAATGACAACGACAGGAACCCCATGTGGGTAAATCTCTATATGAAATTAACTGCAGCTGCTGCCAGAAATATAGACAGAAAAAAGTTAGGTTAATAGAGTGGGTGAAACGCCATACCAAAGTCTGGTCTACAGTCTGTCTTGACTTAAACTTAGCTAGTCACAATTACTGACCCAAACATACCACAGCATTCCTTACAGCAAAACAACACATTCTTATTAGGTTGGTGCAAAAATAATGACGTACGAATGTCGTTTCCTGACGTTAAAAAATACGTAAAAAAACGACATTAACACGTCATTATTTTTGCACCAACCTAATATTTACCATTCTTACTACAGCCAATATAACAACAGAAGAAAGTTCGTTAAAAACAATTAGTACGGAAGTATTTATAGAAAAGACACAGGGAAGCTACATTACGGCGCCGGGAAAGTGACTGAAGCCGAGATGCCAGATCAGAGCCAATAACATTGGTTCGTCTTTTGACTACATATCAGTCCTTTGTAGGTTATGTAAAGGCGAAACATATTTGGAATTATCGGTCGGTGTTCCCAAGGAGTCTCCCATCTGAGTACTGACCGGGCACGTCACTGCTTAACTTCGCTTGATCGAAACCAAGAGTAAGAAAATTGTACGAAAAAATAAATTCTTCTATGCTAATCGTAAACCCTGGTCTCAAATTTATTGGACAAGTATTGGGTATTTTATGATATTTGAGATTGATTTTGGTGGAGGCTAGCAAACAAGTTACAAATGGACATTATTTTCTGAATATAGATGAACATTTTTGCGTTTGGAGACAGAGAATTGAAAACTGATGTTCTCAGACACATTTACATATATTAACAATGTACTATTCATTTTTCTGCATGGGATGGTTTTCGTACTTAAAAGAACTGAGGGGTAAAATTACCATTTATAAATATATACGTTATCCTTTGTAACAAATAGATTGCTATTCAGTATATTTTACTGTCTCGTTATATCCTTTATCTCTCTCTCTCTCTCTCTCTGCTTCTTCTTCTCTCTCTCCTTCTTCTCTCTCTGCTTATTCGTCAGTCTAACAACCTATAGCAGTAGGTACAAATCTATCTATCTATCTATCTATCTATGGATGTTTCGGACCGTTGGGCTATCTATCACAGTTTCTCTCTCTCTCTCTCTCTCTCTTTCGTACTCTCTCTCATTATCTATGAACTTTTCCCTCTATTGAACTGTCACAGTTTCTTTCTATCTCGCCCTGTTGGTTTCTATCTATCTATCTATCTATCTATCGATGTTTCGGCCTGTTGAGCAATCACAGTTTCTCTCTCTCTCTCTCTCTCTCATACTTTCGCTCTCTCTCGCTCTCTCATTATCTATCGATGTTTCAGACCGTTGGGCTATCTATCTCTCTCTCTCTCTCTCTCTTTCGCACTCTCTCTCATTATCTATCTACCTATGAACTTTTCCCTCTATTGAACTGTCACAGTTTCTTTCTATCTAGCCCTGTTGGTTTCTATCTATCTATCTATCTATCTATCTATCTATCTATCTATCTATTCAGTCTCTTCATATCTATCTATCTATCTATCTATCTATGGATGTTTCGGACCATTGGACTATCACAGTTTCTATCTCTCTCTCTCTCTCTCTCTCTCTTTCGCACTCTCTCTCACTATCTATCTATATATCTATCTATGAACTATTCCCTCTATTGAACCATCTGTCACAGTTTGTCTTCTATCACTGTTGGTTTCTATCTATCTATCTATCTATCTATCTATCATAGTCTTTTTCTTTCTTTCTTTCTTTTTTCTTTCTTTCTTTCTTTCTTTCTTTCTTTCTTTCTTTCTATTCCAGTCTCTTCATATCTATCTATTTATCTATCTACCTATGTCTTTTTCTTTTCTTTCTTTCTTTCTTTCTTTCTTTCTTTCTTTCTTTCTTTCTTTCTTTCTTTCTTTCTTTCTTATTCTGCCAAATTCATTTGCTTTTAATGTCGTTTGCGTAATTGTTGAAATATTTGCCCATTTCTCTCAGCTATTTACTTTCGATGTTCATCTCTAGAGAAATGTCAGAAATCTTTAGTGCTATTCGTAAGATTGGCGCAACATAATCTTCTGTTCACCCATGAGATAACGCTACCAGGCCAAAAATTATTTTTAAAAAATGGACATTAAATCTCCTCCTACAGACCAAATAAAATGGCCTGGCATTCCCTAAGGTCTGCTGTTTGGCCATACTTCCATTAATATTCAGCATAAATCTTATCTTAACAATTATGAATACAACTGGTGTCGTTTTCCGTATCATGTCGCGTCCCGAATTCAATACAACAGACAACTCTTTTTGACACGTGTTCTTCTCGTGAGGCGGCAAATAAGGTCTTCTTATTTCCATGTATCGGCAGGTCTTTTGAGTGATGTTGCGTGATGAATGCTTTACGTTATGTGTTCTTTGTTTGACAAGTTTGATCCGAACTCCGACGCTGACCTATGAGTGGGTCTATGTGTTTGTACGGACAACACTATCCAGTTCATTAGTTTTTCAAAACTATGAAACGATATGAATTGCTCACTGTACTGTCGGAGGAAACTGTCCCAGATCTGTATGTACCAAATTATTATTCTGTAGGGACTGGCGAATAACATGAGTGAAAATGTGTTAAAATATTCGTTACTGGGAACAATTCCCACGCACGCACGCACACCCAATATAGAAAAATATATATTGCTTAAAATTGTCATATTTATGAAGAAAGAGTGCTTAATATAGGAGATGAATGTTTGTAGATAAAGAAATCAACACTGTATGAAAACACATTCACTTCAACTCATATTAAAGACATGTGTCACTACTCCTTGCGTGGGCTATATATATATATATATATATATATATATATATATATATATATATATATAGATAAAATTAGTGAGGGTGTATGTGCGGGAGTGGGAAACAAGTGTGAGGGAAATGTGTAAGCTCTAGAGAGAGGGTGTAACAGAAAAAAAAGAACAGGAAGGCCTAAAAAGGTGAAGGTGGGGATTAAAATTTAACAGAGAGAAGTTTTAAAAGAGGAGTTAAATAACAGTTTAAATGAGTGAGATACAGATAAATAGGAATTCTTTTCAGATGTATAATTCTATGGAATATTAGTGTTTGAGCCTTTTATATTATATTCTTACTCTGTCCTGGACCCTAGGTTCTATCCTCTTGGGAATTTATATATATATATATATATATATATATATATATATATATATATATATATATATATATATATATATATATATATATAAATTCCCAGAGGATAGAATCAAGTAGAACTCAGGGTCCAGGACAGGTAGAATATAATATAAAATATATATAGAACCTTGTGGCATGCATTCAGTGCACCAGGTTTCTGTATTCGTCCCTCCAAAAAGTGTGGCTGGTCCTGCACAAGGCCTTCACCACTATAAACAAATCTCATGTGCCGGTGTCGGGATGTCGGTTTCCTGGGGACTTATCGGCCTGACCCTCATACGTCGAACGCGACAGGAGAGTCGATTATATATATATATATATATATATATATATATCGATAATGATGTGCGTGCGTGTGTGTACATTTTCAAGTCAAGCCAGTGTTGTTACTTTTCAGAATTTATATAGAATTTATATAGATATATATATATATATATATATATATATATATATATATATATATATATATATATATATATATATATACTAGCAGCATGGCCGGCGATGCCCGTGCTTGATTCAAAAATCGTACGACTCATACAGCTATCACTTAAAATATTTTTGCCCTTCCTTGCCTTTAAAGGAGTGCCCTTTGCCGTGCTGATGTTGCTACATTCCTTACTTCTCACACTGCGAATTTTTTCTAAGCTCTATACTAAACATTAAATCTGTTACGAAAAAAGATCTAAACAAAATGAACACAAAACGATCAGCTTTAAAAAAGGACTCGTAACTGAAAAAACCGAATGGAAAAAAGAATGTTAACAACAAATACTTTTTCACACCCAACCCAGTTCTGCGGAATCAGAATCAACGTTGAGTTTAAGCAAGCGAATAAGCCAATTGGTGTAAAGTGCCATGCAGATTTAAATTTTTCCCACTTGTGACGAATGCAGCTATCGATTTTTTTTGTGCATGCTAGCATGCTAGTTAACATACGTGTCAGTCAGCTGTTGGTTCTTACGCTGGCCAATATAATCTTCCTGCCTATTCGTGGCAGCCAGCTATAGGCTCTCACTCTGGCCAGTAGAAAATGGCCGCAAACTACATGAAAACTGCCGTAGAAACATGAAAAATCGATTATTTCCACTATCGATGGAAGTTGGGAAATGCAAAGTCAGTCTTGGCCTTTCCACTAACTTGGAGCATGTGCATGTAAATTTTGGTGCAAATCCGTCGAAAATTGCGGCCGTGCATTCGTTACACACACACACACACACACACACACACACACACATCCTGCCTTTTATAGATAGATATATATAAAAAGTCTGAAAGGTAACAACACTGGTGTCACAAACAAATGGGGAAGCATACTGACCTTTCATCCACCTGATGAATATTCATGAACGTTCTCAAATTTAAAATGCTATACTCGCATATAAATATATCTATATATATATAGTCTGTGTCAAAAATAGTTTTACAAACTTTGGAGGCGGCGGGTCCTTCGCACCAAAACAAGGAAAAAAGTCCACATAAACATATGTTTTCAAATCCTTCGTTTTTGAGTTATTCAGTTTAAAGAAAGTTTACGGTAGATGGTGCTTTGTTGCCATGTACACTAGTTTACATTTGTCATTCGTGTACATTTGTGGCTGGTCTTTGAACGTTTAACGTGTGTCCTAGTGAATTAACTGAGAAGTGTTCCGTTTAATAATGGCAGGATATTCATACCATGTGCAGGCAGATATAATTTTTACAGACGGCTGCGCGAATAGTGATGGACGCGAAGCTACACGGCTGTATCAGATTGCGTTTTCAGACCGAAGACAGCCAAGTCATCTAAACATTGCTACTGTTTATCGTCGTGTTGCTGAGACAGGATCCATGGCACCACAAACTATGGACCGAGGAAGACCGAAATCCGCTCGTACACCTGACATGTCGTACATCTCATAGTACCTCAGGGAGGGTACTTCAAAAAGCAGCTTCTTTATCTGTATCATTTGCAATCTGTACAGGGTCTTTTGCCCTCTGATCACTTAACACTGGATAAATTTTGCCGATAGTTTATGTTTATGCTATTTGTCTCTTCAATCCTGCTTACGGATGACGCAACATTTGGAAGAGATGGAATAACAAATTTACATAACCAA